GGGTGGGTGCCAGTCCAAGCTTCTCTTGGTTTTTCTCTGTGCTTATTGCAAGGAGCTGTTGCCTGCTGTAGTAACAGCACTGGAAGAAAGCAGAAAAGTGAGATGAAGAACTCCCATCTGGCCCAGTATCACTCCAACGGATGTCAGAGTTGCCTGTGCAACTGTACTGCATTCCAAGCAGAGTCACTGCAACCTTTCTGCTTTCTCTTGTGGAAGGCAGCTGATGGGTGAGTTATACTGCACCATTGGTGAAATGGTTTGTCGATAAAAAGGTAGTTTGTTGTGCTCAAAGCTTTTATGGTCCCATAGCAACAATTCCCCACCTACCATCAAGATCTTATCCTTTTATAAGATGTATAGTGAACACCTGAAGGTGTTCCTTTCCAAGGCAGCCAGGTACCTTATCCCCTTGCTTGGGAGTTTTCTTGCTTTGATGTTGCAGCTTCTTTTTCCTCTAGTTCCACTTCAAAGAGTTTTTCCCAGCTCTCAGGGTTGCACTGGATTTGCTCTGCACTGGTTGCACAGGCCAAAGAAAGAAGTAGCTTACAGGAACCTAATTGGTATCCCAGTGCCTTTTGCAATGCCATAAATACCCCCTTCCATATGTACAAAACAAGCACCTTGAAAACAGTGACAATGTCCAGTGTCTGATTTGAAAAGGTTAAACACTAGCGTGAGCGATCTTGGAAAAGTGGACCTCAGCATTGCCTGGCTCATTTCTGCCAAGAGGAGGCCTCTTCTTTACAGCCACTGTAGTCTGCATTGCTGGGCAGGCAGAAGCAGCAAGGGAGCAGGCTGTGGATACACAGAAGATGTGAACTGTGCTGGCACCACATGCGTAAGTTCAATGCTGCCCCTGTGTGTGCAGAGAACACTGTCAAGAGTTTATCTTATGTGTAACAGCAAAATCAGCTCTGCAGAAAAGGCCACCTTTGCTTGTGAGCCTGCTAACACACAACTTAGGGTAATATCCGTATTGAAGTTGAATATGCTGGGGCACGTCTGATAGCTTGTTTGGCACTGTACGTGTTGTGCCCCCAGTCAGGGTGTCTGTTGTGAGCTTAGGAGCCCTGCGCTGTGCGTGGAGCTGCTGGCTCGCGCTGCACCGTGGGGTACACAGCCACCCTGCCTGCGGCTCTTCTTCCCTCCGTGTGGCTAATTAGGGACACATTCTCATCCTTAATCTCCTTCCGGGTTAGTTCTGCTCTGACAAAGATTTGGCTGGCCTTCGTTTTTGCTGGTTTGTTTTTTTTTTCCTCCAGAGCATCTCTCCCTCTTTTTTAAAGACTAGTAAAATTGGGATGTTAGGGAGGGAAGCTGTGCCCAGAAGGTGAAATGCTTCGATAAGAGAAAAAAGGGAGAGAAAAATACTGTTCTCTTTAGCCTGGCAGTAGTCAGGAAGAGCTGTAAGTCTCCTGGGAGGTCTTGTTACTGAAGATGAAAGAGGCTCAGAGGAGACTTGCCTGCTTTGGAAAAAATCTCCAGAAAGCTCTTAGCTCCTTCCACAAGCCATTTCCCATCCAGTAACTTAGCCAGTAAAATATCTTGTGAGCCTCCTTTAAAGCAGTGAACTAAAAAGTGCAGAGTATGAAGTGGGATTTTATGGCCCCATGTACATTTCCAAACTATGTTTATACTCTTTATGGAGATTCAGTGTGGAATTTTAAGGCAGAGAACGGATGATATAAAAGGCAAGGTGGGGACACTTCTAGCCTGGATGGAAACTGCTGAACTCAGTCTATACTCTCTGCTTTTGAGAAGAGAGACATGGTGCTGTGAAGGTTGTAATTCTGGGGCCAGGGGGCTCTTGCAGGGCAGAGGAAGAGGCATCCAGTGAAGCAATGTGTTATGTTGCAAGCATAAACGTTCATAGCATTTACTCACAGGTAAGCTGTAGAAAACTGAGCAGAGAGACATAAAACAGAACTACCTCATAACAAGAATATTTATTAAGAGATGGAGTTAATAGGCCCAGCCACTATTGCTAGCAAGCCAAGTCAGGATTTCCCTGGCACACAGGTGCTTTATTTCTTTTTCAGGATAATTCTGCAATAGAAGCTCTTTTTCCCCTAGGCATTAGTGGCAGATGACAGGCCATAAGTGTAATTGCATAGCTAAGATACAGCTCTTGCTGCAGCTAATGGTTTCTTTCTTCAATAAATGATACAGGCAAGAATGTTTGCACTTGGTCCTTCTCAAGTATTCTAAAAGTCACAAAAGACTACAACATCTCCTGAGCACAAAATAGAAGAATGTATTCACAACTCATATTCAGAGTATTGGCTCTTTATTTTGAATAGGCAACAAATACCAGGCAGACTGAGTATCCATCAGCCTGTGCTCAGCAGAACATGCTTCTGACTGTATTTGTAATGCATGTCAGTCACTGCATCACCACAGTCAAAATATTTGGCTTTGTTTATAGATGTTGAAAACATCTCTGAAACTTATCTTCCCAAGTGACTGGGTTTCTTCTAAGCAAAGATAAACAAATGCTCTTCAAGGTGTACTCAGATATCTAAGTGTTTCAGGTTTTCTCAATCCATCAATACATAAAGTCACTCTGAGGCAGCAGAAGACTCCTGGGGCAAGTTTTCAGAAAAATACCTTCAGAATGTTGCCCCTCTCCACCAGACAGCTGGGCCCATAAATCAAGACTGTCTCAGCTACAGGGAGGTACAGTATGGAGACTGGAGACCATCTTCAAAACTTAAGTCACCCAACCCATGCCCTGGTGGCTGCAGGATTGTCTGAGCATCTGTGTAGGTACATCATGGGTGTGCCAGTGCAACCCCTGGGGCACTCCACATCTGGAAAGGGGTGAGATGATGGTGGACAGCATGATGAGGAAGGCTCTTGTCCTTTCCCTGTTAAATCAGCACTGGAGATCTGTCTCAAGAGCCTGGATGTGAATGCACATCACATATGAAGCCAAAGGGAAGCACTTGGGAAGCAATAGTGCATCTAATAAGAGTGAACCTATTCTTGCTGTAGCAGAGGAGCACGTCCTAGAAGGGCCAGGACACTCCAGGCACGGGGTGCCTGTGGTCAGCAGCTGCTGCTTTGAAGGAAGCAGCAATAATGTCTCCTGTGAGCACTTTGAGGCTAATAGCCTGCCTCTGCACTGTTCATTTTCCCATTTCCTGAAACCATATAGAAGGTGCAGCTGGATTAGGAAATGACACTGAAGTTAGAATGAGATAATCAGCATATGTACCAGCTCATACAACCCACAAAGCTGGTACAACCTTCTACACAGCAAAGAAGATTTGTTGGTCCTGCTACAGCTACAGCTGTCCAGGTGTCCTGCTGCAGGGAGTGCCTGAGCCTGCTACTTGCACTGGAGAGCAGCAGAAGCAACAGCTGGTTTTGGTGTGACCAGGTGGACGGCTTGTGGAAGAGTTAAGGAATATCAGGGAGTGTGAGAGGGAGATAGACTGGTGGAGGCACACTCCACCACCCCTGAGGCCAAGGCAGCAGATGGAGACTCCACAAGAAGCAGAGGATCTCTTGCCACAGAGACACCTTGGTGCCTCTTGCCACCAAGCAGAAGGAGGGGACCTAAGAGATGGTGGGCAATGGAAACAGGTCCCTGCTTGGGGAAGCAGGCAAATACCCTCTTGGCCTCCCTCACCTTCCCAGTTGCCCTTAAACAACAGATATGGGGCTCTGGAACTTGAGGGCCAGGTGAATGAGGGTGTAGGTGAAGGTCCATACAGGGGATTGCCTAGGGTGAGTCGGTCAGCCCCATGCATTAGGATTGCCTCTGTTAAGGAAAAAAGGAGGGTAATTGTTGTAGGTGATTCCCTTCTGATGGGAATAGAGGGCCCAATATGCTGACCAGACCCGTCCCACAGGGAAGTCTGCTGTCCCCCTGGGTCCCGGGTTAGGAACGTTACCAGGAAACTCCCCAGTCTGGTGCAGCCCCACTGATTATCACCTGCTGTTGGTTATGCAGGTTGGTAGTGATGAGGTTGCAGAGAGAAGTCCAAAAGTGATCAAAAAGGACTTCAGGGTGCTGAGGCAATTGGTTGAAGGATCAGGAGCATGGGTAGTGTTTTCCTCAATCCCGTCAGTGGCAGGGGAGAATGCTGAAAGGAGCAGGAAAACAGCTGATTAACATGTGGCTCAGAGGCTGGTGCCATTGCTGGTATTTCGGTTTTTTTGATCATGGGGAGATTTACATGGCACCGGGCCTGCTGGCGACAGATGGAGTTCAGCTTTCTCAAAGGGGGAAAAGGATCCTTGCTCATGAGCTGTTGGGGCTCACTGAGACTGCTTTAAGCTAGGTTTGAAGGGGGAAGAGGATATAACCAGGCTTGCTAAAGAGGAGCTGAGGGGTAGCATGCCATTGTTGGGGGTGAAACCAATAGCCCAGCTCAAATGCATCTACGCGAATGCATGGAGCACAGGCCACAAACAGGAGGAGCTGGAAGCCATTGCGCAGCAGGATAGCTATGACTTAGTTGCCATCACAGAAACGTGGTGGGATGAGTCTCATGACTGGAGTGCTGCAATGGATGGCTACAAGCTCTTCAGAAGGGATAGGCAAGGAAGGAGAGGCAGTGGGGTGGCTCTATATATTAGTGAGTGTTTTGATTGTATAGATCTCAACTGTTGTGATTATAAGGTCAAGTGCTTATGGATAAGGATGAGGGAAGGCTGACAAGGCAGATATCCTGCTGGGAGTCTGCTATAGACCACCCAACCAGGATGAAGACGTAGATGAAGCATTCTACAAGCAGCTGGCAGAAGTTGCACAATCACTAGCCCTTGTTCTCATGGGGGACTTCAACTTACCGGATGTCTGCTGGAAATACAACACAACAGAGAAGAAACAAAGAAACACACTCCTGAAATGAGCAGAAGATAACTTCCTGACACAACTGGTAAGTGAACTTACCAGGGGAGGTGCCTCGCTTGACTTGCTGTTTACAAACAGAGAAGGATTGGTGAGAGATGTGGTGGTCAGAGGCCGTCTTGGGCTTAGTAATCACGAAATGGTAGAATTCTTGATTCATGACGAAGTAAGGAGTGGGCTCAGCAAAACCACTGCCATGGCTTTCCAGAGGGCAGACTTTGGCCTGTTCAGGACACTGGTTGAGAGTCCATTGGAAGGCAGTCCTGAAGGACAAAGGCTGGGAATTCTTCCAGAAGGAAGTCTTAAAGGCACAGGAGCAGGCTGTTCCCATGTGCCATAAGATGAACTGGCGGGGAAGATGACCACCTGGCTGAACAGGGAGCTTTTGCTGGGACTCAGGAAGAAAAGGAGAGTTTATTACTTTTGGAATAAGGGGCAGGCAACTCAAGAAGAGTATAGGGATCTCGTTAGGTCATATATAGAGAAAATTAGAAAGGCAAAAACCCAGCTAGAACTCCATCTGGCCACTGTTGTAAGACACTCACAAGTCTCTGGGGCCGTAAGGGATCCACCTGAGAGCACTGAGAGAGCTGGCAGAGAAGCTTGCCAAGCCACTTGATGATATTTATCAGAAGTCGAATGAGCAGTTTTATTATCTTCAATACAATACTCAATAATACATCCTCTATTGCTGTGTCTACATTCCTGTAATATGCACTGTAGTTCATCTATGTGTGTATCACATTTGTATGTCTGGTGTATTTGTATATCAGCGGTTCATCTTGAGTGTGCTCACCAGGCATGTGCAGGACAATCAGGGCATCAGGCCCAGCCAGCATGGGTTCATGAAAGGCAGGTCCTGCTTGACCAACCTGATCTCCTTCTATGACAAGGTGACCTGCCTAGTGGATAAGGGACTTCTGAGAAACCAGTCTGTCTTTTATTCTGAAGTATGTAGACTTTTCTGGTTCATAACTTTCATTTGTGCTCAATTCTTTTTCCTCAAACTGTAAGAGCAGAAGTGCAAGGCAGCAGCTCCAGGAGCTTACTTTTGACAAACTGGAGATGCAGCTTAACACAGGTAAGTGAAGTGCCGTACTGGGGTAGGAGCCTGACTTTGGCTTGGCCATCTACTGAAGTGACCTGAGCCACAGTCAATTACAAGCCAAACAGGAGGCAACAGTGCTGTCATGGAGAAGGCATGCCTCATACCGGGATATATCACAGGCAGTTGACCTCCCTGAATGTGTATATGTCAAGGGGTTTTTGCTATTTGCTATGGGTCAGCTGTGGGCTGGAGAGCCGTGTCTGAGCTGGGGCATTCATGATGGAAGAGTGCAGGCCTGCTGGAGACAGTCCCAGGGAAAGCGTGAGGTGGTTTCCAGCTGTGAGGCCTAGGGAATGTGCACTGTCACAGAAAGCAAAAAGAAGCAGGGGTTGACTTTATTTAACTTACCCTGGAATTGCCTGCTCTGTCACCAGCTCGACTGGGCTTGCAGTCTGCCCTGGAGGCTGCACACTAGTGATAAGCATAAATATTTTAAGGTTTCGTATTAATGAAATTGACTACCATGTGCCCTAAAGATAATAGCCATCGAGCTGTCACTCAGAACATTTTAGGTGCAAACAGATGCATTTTCCCCTGCAGCAACTTCCCTCTGTGAGAATAGTGATATTATTAAAGTTTGCCCAGAGAGCATTTTAGCAGCTCATTAAACACAGCTGCGTATTTTGTGTAGCATTAAAGCAATTCACTTAGTAATTAACTAAATGTATGATAAGACATTTTAACTAATATTGCTTTTCTCATGCGAGTGCTTTTCATTCATCACAATCTAGCTGATAGCATGGCAGGGGAGATCGATTGTCATCCAGGGTGGGGGCAGTCTGTGAAGCCATTGCATGGCCCTGACAGGCTTTACATTTGCGCATGTCAGGTCCTCCTCCAAAGCAAACCGTCCACCTCCGCACTGGACTTGCCAGGCTTCTCCCTCTTGTCTCCATCCTATTCCTTCCAAAGAGCAATCTTGGTATTTCTCCACATTTTGTCCTCCTCTTTTGGACTTCCGTGTTTCTCCTCCTGTGTCCATAGGTGCCATGTAGTTACTCCATGCTGCTGCTGCTTCTCTCTTTGTCGAGGGCTATTTGGGTAGTTTTGCAGCCCTATGGGTTGACCTGTGTCCCACAGTGGCTATTCCAGGTGCCTTTGCTCCCTGGGTCTTTTGGATGGCAGAGGCAGAGCTGCTCTCTGCTGTGCACTGGCCTCAGACCCAGGGGAACTTTGTTGAGCCAGAGTCCCTGCATACTGGGCACCCTGAGAGCTGTTGGTCCCCTGAGCTTCAAGGAATGCATTTGTCATTCCTTGCCTTGCTCTGCTGTTGTGCTCAGCTCCTTGAACCCCCAGCATTGCAACTGCAGTTGCAATGGCCTAGCCATCACCTGCACATAAATGCATCTTCAATTTCCAGCTCACAGTGCTTGCTGCAGGTGATCAGCAAGACCTACATCAAGAAAAGCAATAGTCAAAAAGTCTTATGCTACATAGCCGCATGTTTTCTGACCTTATGAGTGAGCAGGTCTGTTCTGAAGCTCACCCAAGGCTGGGATGGGGTTAGAGAGTCCCTGTCTGGGTCCATCACTTGAATCTTTGCAGGTCTTGCTTAGCACATGTCAGGTTTTTGTGAACCCTGATCCTGTCATCCAGTGCCAGGAAGGAGCTCCTGCATGTTGAGGGAGTGCTCTGCACACCCCTTCCTCCCTGAGCCAGCATCTGGCCAGATGAGCATTGTCTCTTCTGGGGTGGCTATGGCATTCATTTTGCACCCTGAGGAAGGGTGACCCCAAGGACACCTCAGGGCTCTCAGCTTGCTCAGGGCAGGTCCTGGTGGTGGGCAGCAACGCAGTGCTGCAGCTCCCATGGCAATGGGGAGCAGCAGGTCTGCTGCAAGGAAGGCAGCTCTGGGATAGTCTCTTGCTAGGCCAGCAGCTTGCAGACAGTCCACCAGGCTGTGGGGTGAGCTATCTGGAAAGCAGGAAGGAAGATGGCCCAGGCCATTCCTGCAGCTAGGTTTTTGCCAAGCAGCCAGATCTCAGGTGACCCCTTTGCTCAGCGCATGGGAAAATCTGTAGCAGATTCAGGGAGGTGCTAGATACGCAGAGTCTGCATCCTTGCCGTAGATGGGAGAAAAAAAGGGATTCAGCATTATCTGCAGAGCAGCTGCCATGTATCAAAGTCACAATTTCACTTCTGTGGTTCATAAATGGTGATATTTGTTCCTCCTAACAAGTAATATGACATAGAGCATCCACTGAAAAAATGGAGCACTTTATTACACCATAATGTCCAACATTCCTGAAGATATCTGGAATACTCCGTAAATTTAAAATGGGACCCCCGCCAACCTCAAGATACAACTGAGTATGGTAATATGAATATAGTTTTTAGAAGCTTCCCTGTATGTTGCTTTGTAACCAGAGAATGAAAATTAATTGGTGTAAATCTTATTTTGGAATATTTTGACCTTATCCCAGAGTAATTTAAACATTTTTTGTTCACTTTCACCAATACAGAGCATGTGTGATGTTTGTAAGGGAGATGGAAAACTCCTGGACCAACCCACTTTTCCTTACAAATAGTTTGCCATAGACTGGCATCTCTTTGCCTTGTTAGTACAATGTAGCCTGCAAAGGTCAGTATAAAATAGAAAACTGAGCAAGATGAGGAGTTTTTCTTATCTTCAGAGTGTTTAGTATAATCTCACTGGTAGACCTCTCTCACTGGATTGTGAAACGGTGTTTTGTGTGTTGGTGATGGGCTGTAATGGGATCCCACAAGAGGGTCCCATGTCACTGCCTAATGTGCTGCTGAGCAGGAATCTGGGAAAATGCTGACCATTATCTTTTTAGGCACTTTCAGCGCCAGACTGGCAGTGAAGTGCTGTTGATAGAGGCATCTTTGAAATACCTCTAGAGTCAAAGTCTGCCGCCCAGGAATGAACAGGGCATTCAAGGGTTTATCACTAGAAGCCTTCCTCTGCTAAACAGCTTACTGAATTTCAATATTGGGAGTGGGCAAACTGGATAATATGAATAATAATAAAGTTTTTTTTTTTTTGCATGGTCCCCAAGGTATTATTTTTCCCTCTTGTTTGATGTAAGGAAGGTGCTGTGTAACTATGGAAACTTTCAAACTCACTTCACACAAATTTGGGGGGAGAGAGGCAGGGGCGGAGAAAATGGAGAAGAGATGCTTTTTTTCTTTGACAGATTTCTCACAACTCCTAGATCCCACAAAAAAACAGGACATGCGTTCTCTTAGGAGAAGGGCCTTTCTCTTGTTCTGTGCACTTTAATAATAGTTTGAACACAATCAAATTCTTCATCTTGGTCTTTATGTCTTGGATCCTTCTACCCATCTGGCTGAACCTGAGGTTTCAGTGCCTGGATGCTGCACAAATCACATCCATGCAGGAATGTAACAGTGGGAAGAGAAGCAGGAGAACCAGAAGCATGGGGAGTTGTAGAGGCTTCTACAGACTTTTGGTGGACTCATAGTAGGAGCAGAAACAGAAATCAGTTCCCTGCTCATTACCCTCCCAGCCAATATATCTATTTGTGCATTCTTGCTTTCATCCCATGGATCGAGCTTTTGTCTTGCCCTTCCCTGTGAGAGTGTCAGTAGTGGAGACTCTGCAGCCCCTGCCTGTTCCTTGGGCAAAGGAGGTGGCGGGAGAAGATGAAACCACTGACAGGCTCAGCAGGGTAAGCAGCACTTCTGTCCCAAGGCAGGGTGGATTTGCCCCTGCAGCACTAATCTGCAATGCATGGAAAAAAGGCCTCCTTTTGTTCAGGAGACAAATACTCCAGGTGTTGGTGAGACCAGAAGTAAAATATCCTGAGAGTACCATTACAGAAACTAAAAGTAAGCAAAGGCAAAGGCACTGCTGTTTTTTACTTCTTTTCTCAGCTGTATCAGCAATTGGGATGGAAGGTAGTGCAGGCCCAGGACCCAGGGCTTAACACCTGGTTATGATCCAAGATCATAAGATCAAAGATCATTACAGCCTGGTTATGATCAAAGCGTAGTTCTCACACCAACAATCACACGATACACTATTTGGCACACTGGTCCCACAGCTCTGGCCAGTGAAAGCTTCAGCCCAAACCCTCCTGCTTAGGTGGAATATGAAGGCATCAAAGAAAAATAATAAAAAATGTTAAAATTTTAAAACCATATAAAAACCTGAAAAAGTTGTACAGAGAAAGCAGTCAATAAAAAAAGAGACATTACAATGTGTGCATGGCTAGGATTGACAGGGTTTAAGAAAACAAGAAAGGGCGTCTATGAGAACAGTGAGTAAAAGAGAGATTGTAGTGATGGAGTAGACTGAATGCCAGGCCATGGAACTTATTAACTATGGCGGAGAAAAGGCACATGTACTCGAACTGCATTTTTGCCTTGCCTGTCTTTGGAATGGATCAGGAGACTGTTCATGCATCAGAGCAAGAGGAAGTATTTTGTGTTTATTACAGACAAGCACATTTTGATCAGTAGGCCCTAATCATTTGTATCCACAGTTCCAAAAACAATGGCTGAGGACACAATCCAGCTTACCAAGGTTCATTCTTAATTAGAATAATTTCAATTAGAAGGAAAGCCATTTTGCCCAGGACCTCGGGAGACCATCTAGTCCCACTCCCCCCAAGACAAGCAAACACTCAGAACAGTTCCAACTAGATCTGGTTCCTGCAGGAGCAAATCTGAAAACAGTGGAGGAGTTTCCAGAGTCTGGGACACGCTAACATTTTGCCCATGTGCAGACGGTGAGTGGAATGACCTGGCAAGTGCTATGAGATATAGCAAATATAATGGAGAGACAAAGAGGAGATTGGGGTAATGTAAATGAGATTAATAATTAGTGACTATCAAAAGGGTCTTCTGGGAAAAAAGTTTGGCCTGGGTTTTATTTTTATGAGAGACAACAGGTTTGCTTGGCAACTGCAGCTTGAGCCAGCTTGTGCTGAGCACTCCCCAAGCGGACGAAGTGACGGAATGAGGAGGGGCCTCAGTGCAGGCTGAAT